TCAATTGTTTTGAATCATTTAATTTTCTGAATATTGCTTAATCTTAACTTTTGTTCTAAGATTTATACTCTATCTTTGACTTACAATTTATTTAAAAAGACATTGTATGATATCTTCTTCTAGTATTAGAAACTTTAAAAAGTATATTTCCATTTTCTGTTGACTTAAAAAAAAGAGGTTTGTACCTAAAAAAACAAAAAAAAAAGACTGGATCTGGGTCTTCCCAGAAAGTGACAGTAATTCCAAATTGGTGGGAAGGGTGGGGGGTACTATGGAGTGGTATGGGACTTACCAAGGGGGTGAAAGAGGGTCTCATCCAGGCTGCGTCTGGGCTGGGACCGGCAGGTCCCTCCAGAGCAGCATAGCCGGAAGCTCTCCCACACGCTTACTGGGCCTGTATGTAACAGTTTTTAATATTCTGCTCTTTTGCTCAGTTTCTGGGATTTTGATTATTATGTGTCTGAGTGTTGATTTATTTTTATTATAGCTAGCTGGAGTTCCATATGCCTCACTTAACTGTATATCAGATTCTTTTCCAATACCTTGGAAATTTTCTGCTACTATTTCCACTACCACTCTTTTTATGTCTTTTGTGTTATCTCCAGCTATTTAATTGATACCTATTAATCTTATACTAATTTCCTTTGCATCATCTTGCAGCTATTGTGTTGTTATTTCTTGGTTTCTCATTACATATTTTTTTGCTCCGAATGCATTCAGGGCAAGTTGGCTGGCTTGGGTTTTGGGGATTGAACCACGGTAACCTGAGCCTGACTGCTTTGTTGAAGCAGTCACTTAAAGTATTGCGCTAAGGGGCAAGCCCCATCTCATTATTTTTAAAAGATGTTTCCTTTCATGTCCACTAACTGTTGTGCTATCTTCAAGATCCAAAATTCTATCTTCTTTCACTCAAGCTGCTTTGTCAGTTTTCTTTTCTTTTTTTTTTTAAATTTCAAATTATATTTAAGCTTTGTCAGTTTTCAATGGGATTCCTAATGTCCTGGATATCTGTGTGAATCTGTTTGATGCATTTTAATTCTTTATTGTTCATTCAATGTTTACATCATTTTCCTATCACCATCTTTTTATTTATGTGTCATCCTTGATGTATGGATCAATTATTTCATAATTGCTGTCATTTCTTTTTTTTTAACCTGACAGATTATTTTTCCTCTTATTTCCTCCATAGCCTGATGGAGTTGTTTCTTTACTTCAGTTGCTCTCATCTCAGATATTTCAGGTATGCAACTTCAGAATTCTTTTATGACTTTGTCTCTTGGACTTTTTTTGGTGGACTAGAGTCCTGAAATTTCCTCTTGTGTCTTCCTTTTGTCATTTTCAATAGTGATGGTAGATGGGCAAGGTGCAGGTCCACAATGCTTTCAGGCGAGTGGGATGGCTGTGTTGGCTCACCAAAGCTCCTGTTGCATGCTGTTCAATGTGGTTTCTACCTCATTAAGGAGAGGTTAGAAGCCATAGATCAAAAGAGATCTGATGAAGATGATGAGTGGAGGCTGAAGTTAGGCAAAGCTCTCTCGATATTGGATTGGTGCAAGTTAGTGAGCCACAAGACTCCTGCAGGTTGCTGTGGTAGTCTCAATTCCTCAGAGGTCTTCAGGATGAGGAGCAGTGGCAAAAATCAGCAAACTCAGGTTAGATGACTTCAAGGATGGAGCTATGGCTGCCAAGTCTCACTGATAGTCTTTAGGTTGAGGGTGGGAGGAAGTAGGGATCAGTAAACTCCAGCGCGAAGGCTGGAGGGGCAGGGGCTTTCCTATCAAGACTCTCCATCAGTCTTCAGCATGAGTAGTGGTTGTCAGAGCTTCCCCAGAGGAAGGGGGAGATATACTTCATAAAAATTTTTAAAGATCTTTTATTCTTGTAAACCAGAAGCATTCATTTCCATAGAAAATGTGCTAGGTGTGGGGCATGGGGCTAGATGTATGTGCAAAGTTGAAGAAAAACAATCCTTGATAGAAAAAGCTGCATCTTTCTGTGTGATGTTCCAGGTCATAAAACGCAAAGCAGCTCTGCTATGGGAGACAAAGAAACCCTTCTTCATTGAGGAGGTAGAGTTCGCAACCCCTAAGGCCCATGAAGTTTGTATTAAGGTGAAAACTTTTCTACTTCTATTTTATTTTAGGTTTAAAAACTCAGAAAATTTCAAAACCAATTAACAATAGATATTTTTGTGGTGTTAATCTGTAATTTCTGCTTCCAAAAAGTGCATGCTGTGCATGCTTTATAAAGCAAACATCTCAAGGATCACTTATTCAACAGCAATAATTGTTCTAAAATTTTAGTTCACAAAAGAAAGACTGAGGAAAGTTTTAGATATTCTTTTTATAATTATTACTTATTGATACAGGATCTCACTGTGCAGTTTGGACTCAGAGTGCTTCTCCTGTCTCAGCCTCCCCAGCTCTGGGACTACAGGCACGTGCCACCACATTGGGTTCCAGAGCCAGCACAACATGTGGTGGGGATGGAACTCTGGTCCTTGCACTTGCCAAGCAGGCACAAAGACTGTTGAGCTATCTCCCCAGCCTGAATTTTAGCTATACTTGAGGATAAATAATTTTTTTATATTTAAAGGATAATGGAATATAAACAAGAAATTAGAACTGTTTGGAAGTAAAACTTTTAGAAGTGGATTATGTTAAATCTTCTGTGAACCATAGTCATTTCTGGATCTTATCATTTGCACTTTCTTCTGTAGAACATGGACACAGGAATTTGTCACTCAGATGATAATGTGGTTAGTGGAAAGTCCACATCTCCTCTTCCTGTGATCCTAGGCCATGAGGCAGCTGGCATTGTGGAGAGCATTGGAGAAGAGGTGACTTCAGTACAACCAGGTACACAATTTACACTTACTAAATGTGTTTTGGTTCATTATGACAAGATCATCCAGGCCAGGTCAAGAACTCCAGCATCTGGAGATGTGAATGCTCTAACAGAGTCCTGGATGATCTGAGAGCAAGTGGCAGTCCCTTTCCCTTGTGTCTGTCTGATGCCACCATGCTACAAGCAAACGATCTTGTATTTTCTCCTTCAATAGCTATTTATCGAGTTTAGACTTGAATCTAGGCACCAGATTAGAGCTGGGTGTACATGAGTTTTATAAACACACAGTGCTGGCCAAAGTAGAGGTCATGTTCTAATAATCTCCTTCATAGTGGGGCAGAGGCTGCTTCAACAAAGCAGTCAGGCTCAGGTTGCTGTGGTTTAATCCCCACAACTCAAGCCAGGCAAACTTGCCCTGAAGGAATTCAGAGAAAAAAAAATCCTTCTGCCTTTTGGGAGACCTGCCTCTTAGCTCAGTTCTTTGAGTGGTTGCTTCAAAAAGTAGTCAGGCTCAGGTTGCTGTGGTTCATCCCCACAACTCAAGCCAAACAAACCTGCCCTGAAGGTATTCAGAGAAAAAAAAATCCATAGTGGGGCAGAGCATTGCCTCTGCCAAGAACCAAACAGAACTACAAATGGGCCAAGAAAAAACATAGCTTATGGTCCAGTCTCTAGATCAGTATATAAAATTATTCTATCCTGACTTCACAAAATAAGGCTTCAAGGCTGTGACTGAGTCAACAGGATCTCTTATCAGGTGGGGAGTGAAGCCCTCTCACCAACTTCCTCTTCCAATATGGCCACGATCCTGATCACAAAACCATAGCCATAGAGCTGTGGGAAGGAACTGAAGAAAAGAGAGCAGCAAGTACGCAGCTACAATTGTTAGGTTTAATTGCTAGTTATATGTAAACTTGACTGGTTACAAGTTAGTAGTTATTTCATTGCAATGCTCCATCTTAATTTTATTATGTAGGATGATATTTTCATAATGAGAATTAAATTAACAAGATATTTCCATGCTATTACCTTTACAAATGTTTGTTCATAAAATGTTTTAGCCCAATGATTCTATTTGCTTCAGCTGAAAAACCCATATGATATGATTAAAAAGACAAATGATGATTAATTCTATACATCACTTGAGCTACTAGACTCATCATTTCCAAGTACTTTGCTAAATTGAACAGAAAATAAAACAAGTAAAATAGTTTTTGTTGGAGGGCATCTTATTTCCTTTAGTTCAAAAAAAAAGACAATTTCTATGATGCCCTGCCATATCTACAGCAGGAATAATAGATTTTCCATAAATCACTAGCCAAAAATATTTGAATTTCAGTTACTATTCTAAAAGAAGTATATAATTCATTGTTATAATTTTCAATGGAATCTCTTGAACTCTTAGTGTAACTTGTGTTAGTTTTAGCATAAAAATCTATGACTTTTAAAATCTTTCACTTCATAATAAAGATAACCATAGTCTCTTGAAAACTGAAAGACTAATGATTTTTTAAAATGTATTTAGTGTAGTGTCTACAGGGTCTCATTACTCAGTTCAGATTTGTAGTGATCCTTCCTGCTTTTCATCCTTCTAAGCACTGGGATTACAGGCATGCACCACCAAGCCCAGTCTCATTTGCCATCACAGTGTGCTCCAGAGAAGGGCATGGGGTTCGAAAACCCAGCCCCTGCTGTCTGCCTAAGCAGACGCTTTAATAGCTGAGCATTCTGGCCGGCCCTAAGACTAATGAGTAAACTTTTCATTTTTTAATGTAACCAATTACTGAATCGTTAAGATTTTATTGGGAGGGTGTGAGTGTGGGAAGTTCCTTCTGCTCATCACGCACAAGACCCCTCCACAGCCAGACTGCAGGCCTGGCATATGTATGGGACCATCCTCCTGCTTGCCATGCCTAAGATCCCTCTCCAGCCAGAACCCAGGCCCTGTGCCAGGCCTCCTGTGGAACCTAGCAGCATAAAACCCTGTAGAGAGGCTAGGAGCCAGACCCACCCAGCTAATACAGAAGATGAACATCTTGCTAGAGTGGCACAGTGCTTTCTCCTCAATGAGCTGCAGCAGGAAGATGAGTACAGCAACCAGAGCAAAATGAGGCACATGTGGACAAGTTCAAAGTTGGTAGATCCAGAACTGGTAAGCTGAGACACTTCACTGGACCCAGATCTATGAGAGTGTACTCTCTTTTTCTGCTCTTGATCTACAAAGGGGACAACACATAACTGGGAGAATGAGTTGGCTTGGAAGACCCCAGGAACATCAAGGGTAGGTGATTAAACAGAATTTGGGAGAACTAACTTAAATAAAAATTCCTAATTTAATATCTGATTAGCTGCACAAACATGTTTGCTCTTATTGCATAAAATACAAATCCATTAGTTACAAAACTCTGTCAACTGTTAAATATCACTACCCATTATTAGTGTTCCTAATTCTAGTTGTGTAAACACAAAACTAAAACTGTCTTATCCACAAGAAAAATATACCGAAAGCCGCTAGAGAAAGGAAACACCACATTTAATGGAAAACCATCAGAATAATGGCAGACTTCTTTTCACAAACCATGAAGGCATGAAGAGCATGGAACACATTACTTCAAGTCCTCTATTAAAATAAATTCCAGCCCAGATTAAAATACCCTGCAAATCAAGAATGATCAAATGAAATAAAGAAGGTCACCACATACTGGTTAGGGGGAAAAACAAAAGGAAGCAGTAACACTCATGAATATGTATGCACCAAACGAGAGCACCCAACTATGTAAAGCAAATCTTAATGGACATGAAAAATCTAATGTCCAATACCACAATCTTAACAGGAGAACTGCACACCCTCTTACCCCAAAAAGATAGGTCAACCAGACAAAAAATTAGCAAAGAAGCAGCAAAACTGAAGCAGAACTTGGAAGAGATTGACTTAGTAGTCATGTACAGAGTATTCCACCCAACCACAGCTGAATATACATTTTTTTCAGCTGCACATGGGTCATTTTCTAAAATAGAAAACATAGTAGTCCATAAGTCATGCTTAAGTATATGAAAGAAACAGAAATTATCTGATGCACATTATCTGACCACAGTGCAATGAAACTGGAAATGAATGACAAAAGAAACCAGAAAAACCACATACATACATGGAAATTAAACCACACCCTCCTCAGCAACCAATGCATCATAGATGAAAATAAACAAGAAAGTAAACAATATCTATAATTCAATGAAAATTGAAGAACAACTTATTGGAATTTATTGGATGCAATGTAAGCATTTCTTAGAGGGAAATTTATAGCTGTGAACTCACAATGAGGAAAACAGAATGGGAACAAATAAATATCCTAACAATGCAACTCCAGAATTTAGAAAATCATGAGCAAACCAAACCTGAAGGAAAAAGATGGTTGGAAATTATAAAAATTAGATCAGAAATTCAATCACAATGAAGAAAACAATTCAAAGAATTGATGAATCAAAAACCCGGTTCACAGCCCAGGCCTGGCATTCAGGGCTGGGGTGAAACTCTACAGCTGAAGTCCGTGCAGAGAGACAAGCCCTGAAACATTCAACTAATGAAGAAGCAGGACATCTAGCCAGAGGACCAACACAGGTTCACTTCGAAGGACTGCATCAGGAAGGAGATGAGCACAGCAGCCAGATCCAAACTAGGCAAAACTGGATGAACTCAAACTTAGACCTGCACCCAAATATCAGTAGGTGCTAAGGTTATAACTGCACTAAAGTTCTACAACAAAGGTCAGAAGACAGTGCTATACAAAATGATAAAGAGAAGGAGAAAAACGCAGTCTCAGGCCCTAAGCCCACCCAGAACAAGTGCAGAGGACACTAACAAAGAAGAAATTGAGAATCACACAGCAGGAATGGTTGAATCAATAGCATCTGAAGGAAAGAAATAAGAGCAGAAAGGTATGTAGGAACTCAGATCAGAAATAACCTTTGAAATAAAGAAAGAAATCTCTGAATTAATAGTGTCTGAAGTAAAGAATCAAATGTAGAAATATATAGAGGAAATCAGATCAGAAATAATCTGCGCAATAAAATAAATAATAAAAGCTTCAAAAGAAGATGGTCATTAAAAAATAGAAGACATTAGAAAAATGATAGATTCCTTGAACGAGCAATACAGGAAAGAAATTGATCACATGAAATAGAGCCAAAGAGATATAGAAAACTTTAAAATCTCAATCACAAGCTTGCAAAACATTGAGTGCAAGTGAAGATACAGCTTCAGATCTTGAAAACTCAGTTGCAGCTAGTGAAAAGTTATGAAAACATTTCATAAAATAATTAGGATGCAAGAAAAAATAACTCATCACATGCAAGATGATGAAAAGATGAATAGTGTGAGAGTAATAGGTATCAATGAGAAAGAAGGAGTCAATACAAATGACATTAAAAAATATGGGCA